ATAATGATTTGCAGTGTTCGTCAATGAGGAAGGTAATTTGGTGGCCGAGAAGGCCGTCGACGTCGCTCTGGATTACGTGAAGAGAAACACCAAGCTGGGTGTTAAAGTCGACATGGAGAGGGTCGTAGGAAATCGGACCGATGCTAAGGGTTTATTGGATTCCCGTGAGATTATCCCAAAACTGATTATGCAAGACAATTAATTAACTTCTTGAATTGGTTGCAGTTTGCAAGACGTACAACGATATGCTGGATAGTAAGAAGCAACCCAATGTTGTGTTGGATTTGACGATGACCGGTTTAGCTTCGGAAACTGTTAAATCTTTCACTGCGGCTTTGGGTTTGCCGACGATAAGCGGTTCGTTCGGGCAGCAGGGCGATCTCAGACAGTGGAGGAACATCGACCAAAACCAGCAGCAATATCTGATACAGATCATGCCACCAGCAGACGTAATCCCCGAAATCATCAGATCAATAGTCCTGAATCAGAACATCTCCAACGCGGCTATACTTTACGACGAATCATTCGGTTAATACATTTGTACACAGACAGTGTAATTTGTAAATGCTGAACGAATCGATTTGTTTCAGTGATGGATCACAAGTTTAAATCGTTGCTGCAGAACGTCGCGACGCGTCACGTTATCGCCCCGATTAGTCCGGACAACCAGAAGGATCAGCTGATGAACTTGAGGAAACTGGATATAGTGAACTTCTTCGTTTTAGGTAGTTTGAATAACATTAAACGGGTGCTGGACGCGGCGGATGGCGTGAGCTTCTTCAACAGGAAGTACGCGTGGCACGCGATCACGCAAGATAAAGGAGACATCAAGTGCGTCTGCAGAAACGCGACGGTGATGTTCGCTAAACCGACCCTCGACAACCAATACCAGGACCGTAACGGCCTCATCCGAACCTCCTATCAATTGAACGCCGACCCAGAAATCGCCGCTTCTTTCTACTTCGATTTAGCTTTACACACCTTCCTCACCATCAAGTAACTTTTCCATTAATTCAACTCACAAACAATTTAATAACACAATCTTCCAGAGATATAATCTCCGAAGGCGCTTGGCCTGGAAACATGTCCTACATCACCTGCGACGATTACAACGGAAAGAACACACCGGAAAGACCCACAATCGACATCAAGAAATACTTCAATAAGGTTTAATTATTTCCCAACAAAATTTCATTTATTTTTGTACAATTATTCTTCAATTAAAGGAAAACTCAGAGACTCCAGTTTACGGCCCTCTGAAGATCATCTCGAACGGACTAAGTTCAATGGAATTCAGCATGCAATTGAGCGCGGTCGGAATCCGCGAAGGTTCGTCGGATAAATCCGTTCAGTTAGGATCGTGGAAGGCCGGTTTCAACAACAATTTGACTCTTTTGAATCCTCAATCCATGACCAATTACACGGCAGATGTTGTTTACAGAGTGGTCACGGTTTTGGTAAATCTTAATCAATAAATATCAAAGAATTATTATCAAAAGAAAAGAGTGTTTTCACAGCAACAACCTTTCATATTCAAAGATGAGAAAGCGCCGAAGAAGTTTTCCGGCTATTGCATCGATCTTATAGATCAGATCGCCGAAATCCTCAAATTCGATTACGAAATTGTGCCGGTGCAGGACGGAAAATTCGGGAATATGGACGAGAAAGGAAATTGGAACGGTATAGTCAAAGAGCTGATTGATAAGAAGGCCGACATCGGTTTGGGATCGATGTCGGTGATGGCGGAGCGAGAAAACGTTATCGATTTTACCGTTCCTTATTACGATTTAGTCGGAATTACGATACTGATGAAATTACCGAAAACGCCAACATCTCTATTCAAATTCTTAACCGTCTTGGAGAACGACGTTTGGCTTTGCATTTTGGCCGCATATTTCTTCACGAGGTTTACAATTGCAGCAACTATAATTGATGATTAATAAAATTTAATTACATTTTCTTTTAGCTTCTTGATGTGGGTTTTCGATCGATGGAGTCCGTACAGTTATCAAAATAACAGGGAGAAGTATAAGGACGATGAAGAGAAACGCGAGTTCAATTTGAAGGAATGCTTGTGGTTCTGCATGACTTCGTTGACTCCGCAAGGTGGTGGCGAAGCTCCGAAGAATCTTTCCGGAAGATTAGTTGCCGCCACTTGGTGGCTCTTCGGCTTCATCATCATCGCCTCGTACACCGCCAATTTGGCCGCTTTCTTAACGGTTTCGCGATTGGATACGCCGGTGGAATCTCTGGACGATCTCTCTAAACAATACAAAATTCAGTACGCTCCTTTGAACGGTTCTTCGGCGATGACTTATTTCGAGAGGATGGCCGATATTGAGCTTAGATTTTACGAGTAATTATTCCAGTATTAATATGTTTTAAATGTAGTTAAAAATTCTTGGGATTCTTTAGGATTTGGAAGGATATGAGTTTGAACGATAGTTTGACCGATGTGGAGAGGGCGAAGTTAGCTGTTTGGGATTATCCCGTGAGCGATAAATACACGAAGATGTGGCAAGCTATGAAGGAGGCAACTCTACCAAACACTCTCGACGAAGCTGTGAAACGCGTGCGGGAATCTCGTTCTAGCAGCGAAGGATTCGCGTTTCTCGGAGACGCAACAGATATTAAGTATTTGACGTTGACCAACTGCGATCTGCAGATGGTCGGGGAGGAGTTCTCCAGGAAGCCGTACGCCATCGCCGTGCAGCAGGGATCTCCTCTTCGAGACCAATTCAATACAGCGTATGATTTTATCCACTTATTAGAAGACTAAATCTATTGCGTGTTTTTATTTTAGGATTTTGCAATTGCTTAATAAAAGGCAATTGGAGAGGTTCAAGGAGAAATGGTGGACGAACAACCCGAAGGCAATAAAATGCGAGAAACAGGACGACCAATCGGATGGAATCAGCATCCAGAATATCGGCGGTGTCTTCATAGTGATCTTCGTCGGAATCGGATTGGCCTGCATCACTCTGGCCTTCGAGTATTGGTGGTACAAGTACCGCAAAGGATCGAAAGTCATTGCTGTGCAGGAAGCGCAGCAGACGCGACCGCCGAAGAATTTACCGCGCGACGACTTCAAGCAGAACAAACTGTACCCGCGCTCTCGTTTCTAAACTGTAAACATTTAGTGGACAACACGCAGCTTGTTGAAGGGGACCTCTCGAGAAGCACGTTTGTAACAAAATTTATTTATATATTGTAATAATAATAATAATGGAATAATATTTACAAATAATAGTTGTAACAATATAGAATAATAATAATAATAATAGAAATAGACCTTAGGACTAATTATGGTATTATAGTATTGGTATTGGAGAATTGTTAAATAATACTTCTATACATAGTTTAAAATAAATAATTAAAATCACATCAAAAAAAATATTAAAATTAATAAAAATATTTAAAATAAATTGTAAAGTTATTGTATGTAAACGAGCCAATGATAAGTAGAAGAAAAAATAATGATGGAAATGTGAAGAGGACATTTTTACGGTTCTCAAAGTCCGGATTGCAGTTTATGGCCACATTCAAATGCGTGCTTTTTATTCCTTCTTTGCACCAATCTCGAGTGTTTGGTTTACAGGAAAATAATTCGGTTCTGACTATTTGCAATGCACGATGTGAACGCGCCATAAGTCTGGGCTTAGGCTCTCTCTCTCTCTAGGATCGGAGTTTGCTTTTAACCCAAGGAAGTAAACGCTTTAGGATTTACGTGGGAAAAAGTTGTGCGAAGAAAGAAACGCGGCGCTTCTTGGATGCATCATCATCATCATAACTCGATGGTTTGCGTGGTGAGTTCGATGGGCAACTTCTTGAGTCCTGTTTTGTCCAATTCCAGTTCGATGGTGAGACTCTCGACTTCCACTTCGAGAGCTCTCGTGCGTCTGTACATCTGCACGTAGTTCATCTGCAGCTGCCTCTGGTATCGCAGCACCTTTTCCTTCTCCTGCGCCCAAACGACGCGCTCCTTCTCGAACTCGCGTTTCCTCAGGTCCAGTTCGCTCTTCAGGCCAACCAGCTCGTGTCTGGTCGCCTCCTCCGACACCGCGTTCAGTCTTTGTATTTCCAAATCTTCTCTGCTGCTGCTGCCGTTGCTCGCGCACTCCTCGCGCTCCGCCCTTTGCCTCTGCGTCCTCCCAGGTTCCAGACCTTCGTACTCGCTCATCGACACCTCGGAGAGTTCTTCGCGAAGCTCTTGGACCTCCTTCCTCAGACGCTCCGTTTCACCGCTCTGCACGTAAATCGGTTCTATCACCCTCTTCAGCTCATCGATTTCCGCCTCCTTCTCGGACACTACATCTTTCACAAACTCGAGCTGTCTCTCGCGCTCTTCCAACAGCTCCCTGGCATCCCGAAAATCGTTCCTCATCTGCAGCAGCTCGTGTCCTTTCGTCGTCTGCTCATTCTACAAAATACAATATTCACATTAACATACAACTAAATGATAATTAACAACAGAATTATACCTGCGAGTCTTTCAATTGCGATTTCAGCAGCGAGATTTCCCCTGTCTTCTGACACAAATTCCACTCCGTCTCCTCCAATTTGTTGCGAAGGATTTCCACCTCCTGCAGAAGTATCTCGTTTTGCGCGTTAGCTCTTTGGGTTTCCGCGGCGAGCCGCTTCTTCTCCTGCACGAACTGGTAGTTCTGCATCATCATCAGCTGCTCCATCTTGAGCGCCTTCTGCGACGCCGTCCTCAGCGTGTTCTCGTGCACCGTTTTCAGGCGTCGCAACTCGCGCTCCCAGCTGCGCTCCTTCTCCTGGTACACCCTGAAGATGACCTGCTCGTTGTGCTCCATCGTCTGCCGCAGATACGCCAGCTCCGAGTCTCGGTCCCTGAGCGCAGCTTCGAGCTCCGACACTCCCGAATCCGACGGTGAGGGTGTCAGATCCAGAAGACTTCCGACGTCCTCGTTTGCCAATATATAAGACGGTTTATTCCTGCGCAAAAAGGAAATAGTTAAATTGGATTCGCAACTTAAGATGATGATTTAGGACTTACACTATGGATCCAGACAACGTCGATCCGGGCGATTTCCTCACGCTCTCCAGACTATCGTAGTTGATGAGTTTGTGCGGCAAGGAGGTCAGAGAGCTCATGGCCAGAGGTGGAGAAGACGCGGCGGATCTCAGCTTCCTGTCCAGCGAGTAGTTGTTCATGTGAGCGTTCATCTGCCGCAAATCATTGCTACCTGAAGATCCAAACAATATTATTACAACAAGAACATATACAATCTCGCGAAAAGTAATCCAAATATTCATGGAAATAAGCTTATCCATACAACGTATTAAAAATGTGCAGTTCACGCAATTACCGGACATAAAAAAAACTATTCTCAGAAGAACCATTATTATGTTCAGCACAAGAGAAATTCTCGTAAACGACATTTGCATAAACGAATAGAGACAACTTATTCATATCTCCTTATAAATATTGAAAGTCATTTGAAGAAGCAATTGAAGACATAACAAAATATTCTGCAGAAGCATAACTCTTGTAAACAAGTCAAGTCAAGTGATGTAATCTAAACTTCTATGAACTTACTTCCGTAGAGGGTGAGCCTGGATCCTGGTCTGGTGAGGATGGGCGTAGAGCCGTACCGTTCTCCTGCGATGCCGAACCTCGCCGCAGGATTCAGGGCCGGCTTGAAGGCTATGGGTCTGATCACAACTTTGCCCTGCAAAATGAAACAAAATAAGTATAAACCAATTGGTTATCTTCATTGCAAAGAAGGAAACATTGAGATCGCGTGCGCCGTTTTTCGAGACCTAAAAACCCGTATAATGGGAAGCGCGCAATTATCCGGTATCGCACCGTCTAGGATGGATGAAAAGATAACCCGAAGGAAGAGGAGGACGGACCAGAAGGATGATGAAGAGAAAAAGAGAGATCTTTCTCTTCGTCACAAGCGAGCGCTCACGGACGGTACCGCTAGGATGGGTTGGCCTGAAGCCCCCCAGGTCATCTAGCAAGCGAAAACAAAATACAACTACAAAACAATAAAAAAAATGAAATTACAGGTGCCTAATACAATAAACGTTCTTCCTCAGATGCTGTCCATTTCTCATTCTCTCATTCTATCTCTCTCTCTCTCTGTTTCACTCAATCTCATCCGTGCATTTCTCTTTCTTTCTTCTTTTCATTTTGTTTGACTCCTTCGAAAAGCCATTAACTAATGCCCCACACCTTCGCGGATAGTGTACACTACACCTCAGGATCGGTCCACATCCGCAAACCCACACTTACTCGCACGATTTTCCAACAACCAGACACATCACATCTTTCAGTAGTCGAACGCAAATTATGCTCAATTTCAACGCAGACATGCAAATCGCTCGCTTCGGACACTCCTCTTACGTACCAGAAAAAAAAAATAAACTCATACAATTACATCCATCAAAACCAATTTGTGAACAAAAACAAACAGATTTACTTACAATCTGCTGTTTTTTAATTATTCCGAAAGCTCAAATATTTACTTCTTCAATTTTCAAGAGTTTTATAATCAACTTTATATACGTTTTTTGAAACGACAAAAAGATGCAGTAATTAGTTAATTCAATAAAATTATTTTATAAAACTTCTATTTTCACTTTGTGCATTGAATATTTTCCATATTATTTATACTTTTCATGGCACCATGAGTTTCAACCAATTGGTAAATGCAATAAAATTATTTCAAAAAATTCTATATTCAATTTATATAACAACATTTTTCATTTATGGAAGAGTTTTGTAAAATTAAACTAAAGTATAATTTCATGAAAAAAACATCAAATTTTATTAAGTTTTTATTTAAGTATTTATTAAGTTTATATTAATCATTGATGATTGATAAGTATTACTATTCTTTATTGAAATTGTGTGTTTTTTTAATCAAATAATAATTGAAAAGTTAACGTGGTTGCCTACTATAACATTAATTTCCGATAGATTTAAATACAATTCTTAATTTGACCATAAGCTCCAGCAATTAGTGAATACAATAGAATTATTTAAAAAACATTAATTTTCAATATGTGTATTGATATTTTCTAATAAGATTGATTTTCATAGAGTTACAAGTAAAAACATAAATTCACATTTCTTTCATAATATTGGTTTTCATAAAGCAATAAATGAAAAACTAAAGAAGTTTCAGATATTTTTTCTATTTGGTCTATGTTCTATATTATTTTGCATAGTTTTTTCACTGAATAAGACTTAAATCTATATAAACTTTGTTCTAAAAGTTTCCTTTTAATTTACAAGAATGATTTAGCAAAAATTCTCGCTCGAGACGCATATTTTTCAATTGCCGTTGTTGCATCGAGACATATGCAGGAGCAATTACGTTCGTTTTCGCACAATAACACGAAGTAAATTGCTGAAATTCAAAGAACGAAAGAAAATGTTAATGTTTTGAGACTGGGAGGAACAAAACGGAAGACGGACGGACGGACGGTCAGGAGACAGACAAAAGGATGCACGAACAGATGTGTGCGCGTCCGCAGGATTCATTTGGTATTCCGACACGAAAGTGGAAATTTCCTTTCTTTCAGTCCCTCTTTAAAATTCTAATAATAACGGAAATCGACGTCTGGACAGATGCTCGCTCTTTTGTTGGACGCACGCCACAGCAAAACCATTAAAAAAGAAATATATATGAAGAAGACTGTAGAGACTAATTTATTTTCTCTACACTTTTTTAGCATATTCCTTTCGAATAATGTACAAAAAAATGATGCACAATTAATAAATTAAGGTTTTTTTTTATTTTGGCAAAAGGCCAAGGACGTTTCCCTTCAGTTTATTATTGTTGTTAATAATGCGAAATATAAATGATGTTGGAAAAACAGCATAAATCATTCGCAAATTTGCATTTTTTTTGGTTGTTGTTGTTGTACCGCTTTCTTCATCTGTATTCAAATTAATCGGTTCGTTGTCCGCGTGTCGTCTTCATCCATCCACATTATTCAAATTATGAAGAAAGAATCAAATAATTAACGTGTTAAAAAAAGCAACAGAGAACTTAAATTTTAGAATTAATTTACATAAAAAAAGCAAATATTAATATTCATTTCGTAGAAATGAATGCAAGAATATTCATTTAAGTATATTTAGAACTATTTTGTAAATTATTGAAAATTTTAAGACTCTTTTTTTTTGGTATCAAAATGTTCATAAGAAACTTTCTATATGCTTTTTTTTCCCTGTATGTTCCAGTTAACAAAAGTAAATGAGGCTTAAACGAGTTTTAAAATTGGTGAAAACACACCTCTTTTACTCATTTCTGCCTTGATGTTGAGCCGATGTTATCTTATTTGCCTCTTGTTTAATTACTCTTGTAAATTACAATTTATTTTTTTGGGGTTTAGGTAGACTTTCTTATCTCCCCCCGACTAGAAAAAAAACAACGATCCTAATCTGCTCTGTCGGATCAGTCTATCCGTCTGTCTGTCCAACGGTCGGCTGAAGAAGCAGCAGAAAGAGGGACGAGTTGAGAGAGCGAAGAACGGTTTTTGCGGTTCGAAGAGACGACAAAAACATAAATTTCCAATTTCCCGTCCATCCATCCATCCGACCGACCGACATTCGAAACATTCTGACTTTTCCTTTTCGATAGACGCAACAGTTTTCCCACAAACGCGATCGAAAGAAATAAAGGAAGAAAAGAGAAGATGAAACAGTTTGTTTACAGTTCGTTTAACCTAAAGAAAACCGTACTTAAAACTGAACAAGATACATAAATATTTACGTTTGCAAATCGGATGAAATTCCTTAAGGAGATACAAAAATATATATATGTGCAGTATTAACATAAATTTCTTCTCGATCAGAACGAAAATATCAATAAATTCATTTTTTTTTATTTCTTTTCGAAATCCGCAGATTTCCTGCACGAAATTACGCAATATTCCGAAACGGAACAGAGAGATACGCAATATTTGAATCGCGAGTGGATGCGAATGATATACAAAAGAGATGCATAATGCATGGACCACATGCATTATGCAAGAGATGTTGAAAGGAGGGAGAGCGAAAAAAAAAAGAAGTGGATTTATATAATAGGAAGCAACGAAAACGTCGGATTCGCACGGTTCGAATATCGCTGAAGATATGATACAAAAAATATCTTTAACGTTTTATTTAATTATTCGATAACTACGTAAGTTAATTAGATAATTGAATATGCAAGTTAATGATAAAACTTTGATCTTTCCAATGAGTTAATTTACAAATTTGTGTTTTTTTACCATTCTCTTCTAATCAATTGTCAAAATTGTTCATTAATTGAAGATGCAGTATTAACGTATTATTTAATTACTCGTTTACTATTTATAGTAATTAGACTGTACACTATAAAAATTAAACATAAACCTAGGGATTTTTCAATAAGTTTACTACAAATTTCGTGGTTATTACCATTGTTATGTAATCATTTGACAAAATGAATCAATAAGATTCAGGTTTGAAAAATGCAACGTCTTCACGTTTTACTTCATTACTCACTAACTACATAAGTTAATTAAATTATTCGATGATCTAATTAAAGATAAAATTATGATCTTTCTAGTGAGTTAATTTACAAATTTGTATTTTTTACCATTCTCTTGTAATCAATTGTCAAAATTGTTCAATAATTGAAATGCAATATTGACGTATTATTTAATTACTCGTTTACTATTTATAGTAATTAGACTGTACACTATAAAAATTAAACATAAAACTAGGGATTTTTCAATAAGTTTACTACAAATTTCGTGGTTATTACCATTGTTATGTAATCATTTGACAAAATGAATCAATAAGATTCAGGTTTGAAAAATGCAACGTCTTCACGTTTTACTTCATTACTCACTAACTACATAAGTTAATTAAATTATTCGATGATCTAATTAAAGTAAAATTATGATCTTTCTAGTGAGTTAATTTACAAATTTGTATTTTTTACCATTCTCTTGTAATCAATTGTCAAAATTGTTCAATAATTGAAAATGCAATATTGACGTATTATTTAATTACTCGTTTACTAGTTTATAGTAATTAGACTGTACACTATAAAAATTAAACATAAAACTAGGGATTTTTCAATAAGTTTACTACAAATTTCGTGGTTATTACCATTGTTATGTAATCATTTGACAAAATGAATCAATAAGATTCAGGTTTGAAAAATGCAACGTCTTCACGTTTTACTTCATTACTCACTAACTACATAAGTTAATTAGATTATTCGATGATCTAATTCAAGTTAAAATTATGATCTTTCTAATGAGTTAATCATCAAATTTGTAATTTTTACCATTTTCTTGTAATAAATTGTTAAAATTGATCGATAAAATATTCAAACCTTAATGCAGTATCTTCAAGTTTTATTTAATTACTCGTTAACTATACATACTAATAAGTTCATCCAACATAGAAATTCAATATAAAACTATAGTCTAACCAATTCGTGATATTTACCCTTCTTCTGTAATAAGTTGTCAAAATTCATCAATAAAATTGGGGCTTTGAAAATATACTGTCTTCACGTTTTATTTAAGAACTCACTAAATATGTTTACTAAAAATAGAGTATTCAATATGCAAATCGAAGATGAGACTATGACTTTTTCAATATCCTATAAAATGTGTGATCTTTGTGCGTTTTCTCAAATATTTGATCAAAATTAAGAAATAAAATTTAGGTTTGCAAAATTAATATCTTCACGTTTTTAACTGTTGAATTACTCGCTAACTATATATACTAATTAGTTCATGCAATATTGAAATTAAACAGAAAATTATTGGTTTTCAAATAAACTTACTACTAAATTCTTCTTCTGAAATAATTTGACAATAACATTAGGTTTTGAAAAAATGCAACGTCTTCACGTTTTAGTAAATTACTCACTAACTATGCATACTAAATAAATAATCCAATATGAAAATTAAATAGAAAACTTTGCCTTTTTCAATAAGCCCACTACCAAATTTGTGGTCTTCACCCTTCTTTTGTAATAAGCTGTTAAAATTGATCAATAAAATTTTGGACTGAAAAATGCACTTTCTTCACCTCACTAAATACATACATATTAGTGAGTGTTAGTGAAAGTGTAGTGTTTTCATGTTTTATTTAATTACTCATTAACTATGCATACTAAATAGATCATCCAATATGAAAAAGAAACGTAAAACTATAACTTATCCAATAAGATTTGTGTTTGTTACCTTCTTTAATGCAATAAGCTTTCAATAATGTTTAATAAACTTGAAAAAAAAATGCACCTGCGTTAACATTTTATTTAATTACTCGATAACCGCGCACGCTAATTAGATCATTGAAGACGCAAACCGAAGATAAAACTGTGGCCTTTCTTAATAATAAATAATTTGAAAACTCGCCTTCACGTATTAACGATAAGATGGAGACGAAAATTGGGTACGTCAATTTTCGGACGAAATAAATCAAAAGCATAATTGAAGCTGTGATGTGAAGAAGGTGTGCGCGTATAATGTATATTTACGAACTGTTTAACAGGTTGTCTTTAAGAGTTTCAATATTTATCATAATCAATCAAAATATGGAAATAGCTCATCTCCAAAATAGCCTTTTGTTCCTCCGTACAAAAAGAAGAAGTAAAAGAGATGGAGATGAGATGAGTTGTTGCTGTTGTTGTTGTTGATGATGATGATGAGATAACCGGGTTACGTTTTTCGAGTGTGCGTGCTTTCTCTTCTTCAACATTTCAGTTCATCTTCTCCATACGTGTTTCATTTCTTTGTCTATTATTCTTCACATCTTTTGTCTAACAAGTTTTTCTTCGTTTTCTTTTTAATTTTACGGTTTTCTCTCTATCTGTGTGTGTGTGTGTGCGCGCTGCGTTTTGCATAATGGTCTTATTAGATGTAGTGAAGTTCATAGTTGGAGCTCCTCTCTTCGGCTCGTGCGGGGCTCCGCCTGTCTTCGCCGCGGGGCTGCACTCTCCGACCGTGAGAACGCGAAGAGCTACATTCAATTTCAAGCGAAAATAAATATAAATAAAAATACGCGCACACACACACACACATCGAGTCCTTTCCACTTCTTTTTTTTTGTCTTCTTCGTCTTCACACACATTCACAGTGCACATACGTACATCACGGGCAACGTTTTTTTTTTTCCCTCCGGTCTTCAAAGGCGCGAACGCCTTTACCCTTCTTCCCACGACGAAACACTCTTTGCATGTTCTTATTTCTTTATCTCTTACAACCCTCTTGAATGAAAGGAAACGACGATGGATTTATTAGTTTCAATGCGACAAGTAGTAAAACTTCAGAAGCACAACAATCCATATGCTTCAGTAGTTTTTTGAACATACAATTTAAGTTTTTTTTTCCTTTCTAATTTTCTTTAATTAAATAACTTTATACCAATTAAAACACATCAATAAACACTTAATGATTCGTGAATAATTCTGATTATACTAAAACCGTGAATGGGATTAATGCAAATACTTTCACTTTCACTATTGATTAAATACGTAAACGAAATGTATTCACATCTTAGAAATTACATTTCTTACAGTATTTTTACAATAATTTACTTGGTTTTTCTATTAAATTAATATAGATTCTATATAGTATATTCTTAGTAGTATTTTTCATTGTTTAATTGGAAAATATTAAGGAAGAATTTACTGTTAAATCAAAGACTGCAAAACATTAATCTCACATGGGAATGGAAAGTCTCTGATTATATACACTTTAAAACTATCAAGCAAATACAAGGATGTGGCGAGTTTACGTAATGGATTCTTATTTTATCTTTTTTTTGTCCGTTGTTATATTCGCATTTGGCGAAACAGCACCACCTCTTCAAACTTTTTCGCCCGCAAAGTGGAGTGACACACTTCGGTTTTGGAAAAAAAAAACTGGGCGCGTTTTCTACTTCTACCTTTACACCGAGACGGAGGCAGCCACAGTGTCTAATTTACTTTTGTAAAGGATGTGAGAGGTGGGCTGTTTTTTTGTTGTTGTATGTGTGTTGTTTTGCAAACGAGTTAATTAATTTTATCTTCGTGCGATCGAGAACCTTGCCTCAATCTCTCTTTCTCTCCGCGTACACACACTATACTTTTAGTGTACTTTACCAACTAATTAAGTATACAAATCATTGAGAAATTACTCGAACGCACCAAAGTTTGTTCCTGTCTGCACACCTTTCCGTTGCGCAATATCGTGGCCCACTTTGACCGTCTGGGAATTATTACTTATTACACTAGCGGAGTAGAGAAGAATTAGGATGAGGATGGAAGTCGAATCGAAAAACGGATCATCATGCAATACGAAAAATTATAATCCGTTTCGACCTTGACATTTATCTCTTCCTCGTCGTCGCGCCTGACCAACTTTTTTCATCTTCATCTCTCTCTCTCATCTTTATTATACATACATAATATTATACAAGGTGGCCACACGCAAATCTTCAATCTCAACCACCTGCAACGATGATCACGAGTCCTGAAAGACTCGATCAATCCACAAGAAAATCCGAAGCGAAAACCGAACTGCACGTAATCGAATTACGCAAATGCATTAAAATCAAATTATTTGTGATTAGTTTAAAAAAAAAAACTATATACTTAAACACTTAATTTAACAAACTGAAACAAGTCGTAAATTGGATTTGCAAATTACCAATTTTTTATATAATATAAAATGCAAAAAAAAATGCAATTATCCATAGAGGAATTTTCTAATCATTGAATCAAAGAGCGCCGCTTTTTTAATATTATATAAATAAGAATAAATAAAAAAAATGGCTAGACAAAACTTCGTTCGCTTCAGGTCCGGTTTCGATTCTTTTCTTTCTCTTTTTTTTTTGTTCTGTTTGCATTATTAGTATTATTACACGCTTATTATGCGACCGGCTTGTATTCACATCTCGTTCATTCCTTTTCTTTCTCATTGCGAAAAGAATTGATATTGCGAATAATTCCTTTCCTGCATTCCTAATTCATTGACCTCCTCTTACTACAAAGTAGCGAATGAATGGGAGCAAATTTGCATCCGTTCCTTGGGAATCTTAATGTTTCATTTGAATGGTAAGAATCTGCATTATTATTGTAATGCAAAAGATATGAAATATGCGAATAGTGAATAAAGTAGGATAAAGTTAATTTAGTCCTGAGTTTTGTAAATATTTTGAAAATTGGTATACAAGTACTTGAATTTTAGGAAATTGAAGAATATTAACGTTTTGTAAATTTGCAAATTTCTTCATAACTAGGAATGATATTATTAATATTGATTATTCATAAGAAACCTAAGACTATAGTGAATAAAACGAGTATAAACATATAGTGCAGATTCTTATAAATATTATGTAAATCATTTTCAAAATTGTTGTTTTCAAATGATAAAAAACTAATAATATTGAAGATGTTCAAATGACTTGATAATTATGAACGAAAAGGGTTAGGATTTGTTACCTGAGGGCTTTGTGTAAATCGCTTAAGAAGATTTTGTGAAGCTTTTTTTTTAAACTGTTAATCTTTAGTACAAAGACGATAATTAATGCTAAAATTATAATGAATAGATTGGATGTACCAGTATAATACTTGGTGGGCTTTGTGAATCATGTAGTGTGTGAGAGGAAGAGAAAGAGCAAAGGGTTATTGGCTGCGATCGCAGAGAATCGAGACACTAATAAATGAGATTTATTCATTAAGTTGTAAGTTATCAATTACAGTTGGGAGGAAGGAATACGAGAGCTCCTCTGGAGCGCGCACAGGTGTTGGTAATAAAATACTATGTAACTGAGTTTTCATGCTCGGCCTACGCTCGTGCAGCGATCAAACAAACAAAACTTGGAGGCTCCAGCAACAAAAGAGGAGAAAATAAAACCAACAACAACAACAACAAGATGATGATGATGAAGAAGAGGAGGAAGGAGTAGAAAACGAGCGGAGGAGAAAAAGGCAACGTCGGGGATGAGAAGAGAGGAGATGATCAAAACCGTGGATCAAACCAGTTCTTTTTCAGTGCGTCTTTTCTCACACAACTTCTCAACTCTTTCTTTCTTCTCTACATGCGTGTGCATATGAGAGTTTCATTTCGACTCTTTTCTTTCGTTTCCAATTTTGTTTTTATGATGGTGGTAAAGATTTTTGGGATTCGTTTGACTCACCTTCTCCAGGACGCCGCTGTATGGTTGGATGTTTGGAGGTGCGAGACGCGCGTTGAGTTCTTCGGCTTTGTTCTCGAAATCCTCGACGGCGCAGACCCCGGTGGGTGAGCCCAGATCGCAGGGGCTGTCATCTGAAAACAGTGTCTCCGTCCCGCTGTCCACAGTTGCCATCTTTACATAATTATTGCTGAAATAAATCCAAAAAAAAAATATAAAATCAAATGTTTACAAAAGTTCAAATTTCTATAAATTGAAGAAAGTTATTTTGAATATGAAATATATTAATTAAAGCTAAAATTATAGTGAACAAATTGGGTATAAATATATATAGCCCTAGTTCTTATTAATATAGTAAAAATCAACTTGAAAGTTATTAAATTTTAATAATCAAAACAAGAAAGAAAATAACATAAATTCAGATGTTTACAAAAGTTCAAATTTCTTTAAATTGAAGAAAATTATTTTGATTATGAAATATTCTAATTAAAGCTAAAACTATAGTGAATAAATTGTGTATAAATATATAGCCCTAGTTCTTATTAATATTGTGGAAATCAACTGCAAAATTCTTAAATTTTAATTATCAAAACAAGAAAAAAAAACATAAATTCAGATGTTTACAAAAGTGTAAATTTCTTTATATTGCAGAAAGTTATTTTGAATATGAAATATATTAATTAAAGCTAAAACTATAGTGAATAAATTGGGTATAAATATATAGCCCTAGTTCTTATTAATATAGTGAAAATCAACTGCAAAATTGTTAAATTTTAATAATCAAAACAAGAAAAAAAAACATAAATTCAGATGTTTACAAAAGTCCTAATTTCTTTAAATTGAAGAAAGTTATTTTGAATATGAAATATACTAATTAAAGCTAAAACTATACTGAATAAATTGGGTATAAATATATAGCACTAGTTCTTATTAATATAGTGAAAATCAACTGCAAAATTCTTAAATTTTGAAAGTTTCAACAAATTACAAATTTGATTATTACTTGATAACTAAGAATCGTATTATCAATATTGACTTATACACTTGAGATTCTTTTTAACAAAATTATTGCTGAAAAATTGAGCACTATAGATTTTAGTGTACTCGATGAAAGTTTCAGAGATAAAACCGATCCCTGGAGATACTGACTCGGCGAATTCCTCATCATAACCATCATCAATATTATTATTATAACCATTCTAATGTGCGCACGCGTTTCAACCTTGTTGCCCAAGCAACAACAAAAAAAAACAATTGAAACAATTGAAACAAACAAATGTAAGAATAAAACAAAACACGAGCAGGTCGAATCAATAAAGTCCAATTGTTTTCCGAGCATATGCGCGGCCCTCTTAACCCAATTAAACTGCGTTTCATTCATATTTTTCCCACAGGCCCGAGAGGTCGACCTTTCAAAGAAATACTAAGAGAGAGAGAGAGACGGAAAGTCTAACATACACACACACACAATCATAGGAAACGACCATTCATCGCACACGTGATTTTATGTGCATTCGATAAATTAAATCCGGCCGACAATAAAACACAATTAAGTTGCAACAACAGAAACGCGAATGCGACGAAGAAACAAAACAAGTGGGAAAAAAAAATAAAAGATATCTAAATAGAATCATTGAATAAACTCCGGGTTTGTGCAATATGCGTGTATAGGATCTGAAATCGAAATATCCTTGAGCGGATCGAAGCACCGTACTTATTCTCCGTCTGCGTAAATCGCACTTAATATGTTTTCTTTATTTAATTAACTAGGAAACAGTGAAAAACTAGGTCACGCATATTCAATTAAACGAGATCTATTATCTCTTTGAAATCCTTATTTCATAAAATTGCTTTTGCTAATTAACACTTGCAAATTATTCATATTTTTTTTTTCATAAAAGAAAAAAACCTTGAAAAACTTGACGAATCGAAGCACCGTATATTTCTTCTTTTTTTTTTCAATATTCATATACTGATTTATACGTTAATTGGACAAACCGGGTCACGCATATTCATTGTAATTGTAATCGTTTTTATTTATTGTAAAATGACTTTTGTTAATCAACACTTAAATTTTATTATGGAATTATTAAATTAGTATCTTTTTTCTTAAGTATCTATTAAAAGAATCTAATAAAAACTACACGTTTAATGTGAAATTACTTTCTTTAATCAACACTTAAACTAGTTATGTTCATTTACTGAAAGATTACGTTCTTCTTTCTCTATGTGTTTTTTTTTTTTTTTGATATAAAAAAAGTAGATTTTCTTAATGAATAGTTAAAAATTAATTAAGTTGCAAATTGATTATCAAACAGATTTTCTTAATCAATTCATCAATTATCATCAAGTTCGATAAATCACAAACACAATTTTCCAAATCAACGCTTCAAAATTTGATTAATAAATATACAAGAAAAAAAGCACAAGATTTATACGCAGAATGTCAAAAATTCTGTTAATTAAATTATTCCAAATATTTCTCTCGTTAATAGATTTATCCACTCACAAAACTGGAAAGAAATAATCATAAATCAACTTTGAGAAATTCCTTAAATTATTTTAGTTTTTTTCTTTTTGTTGTTGTTGTGACATAAATAAACAGTTTTTTTTCTTGCAATTTTTATCGCATATAATTTATGCAAGAAAAATAATCTACGGTTATTTACGTATTTTGTTGGCAACTTTGGAAAACTTTTATTTTAAACAAACAACAAGAAACAAAGTACGATTTTATGATACATTTTTCAATTTCATTTAGTTATTTGGATAATTAAGTTAATCTTACTTAATTAATCAATAATTGCTTGTTAATTTGTAAAATAATTCATTATATAAAGAAACAATTAGATTTTGATGCATAATTTGCAATGAATTTAGGTGATAATTAATGCTTTTGTGTGGTTTAAATATTGAAATGTGATTGCAGATTGAAGTCTATCTCTCTGTTGTGTATAGGAAATAATGAGCAGTTGACATTTGCAAGGCTTCAGTTGAGTTGTACCGTACATGAATAGACGTTTCTTTTTGTAGCAGCGAACAAACGAAACTGTTTATTATTCTTTTTGGGATTATTTTATTAATAGGGAGAATGTAGGTCGCATGTTCCATTCATTCAGACTACTAGAGCTGGTGCACCGTGATCCAATTCTCAAACACACAAAATAAATTGGCTACTGAATCTTCGAGATTCTGACCTCGAATTTGGCCGTGAAAAATCGGCGCATTTCGAATTGGAAACGTAACAAGTTTCGGCAAGCATCCACTCCTGTGCGGTCGAAAAAAGAAACAAAAACTATTTATTACCTGCTCACTGGATTCCCAAATTTAAAAGAAAAAAAAACAACAATATTAATCCCAACGAAAAGATATTTATGTAATGGATAGAATCGTTCGATCACTGCAAATATCCTTTCTTTCGGACTCGCACAACACTTCTAGAGACGTCCGAGTCCCGTCACTTCCTGACCGTTACTGGCCTCAGCGACGACGATAAGATTTCGCATCCAAAACAAATCGTCGTCCTCCCCACCACCACGAACCAGAAAGTGACGAAGAAGAATACAGAAAAAAAAAGTAGGAGGGAGACGGTAAAAGAGTGGTGACGAGACGAGACGAGACGGACGAGGCAAAACCGAGGTAGCCCTTTCTTCAGTTATTCTTTTCTTATTTTTCGAGTGCTGCAGTTCAGAAGAAAAGGGAAAATCTGGAGGAAATCCTCAAGATGAGGGGAAGTCAAGAGAATCTGTTCTGAAACCGGTATAAGCCGCGACCGTTTGTTATTGTAATGGGAGAAGAACTTAGGAAGAAAAAAAAGAAGCTATTTGCATCTCAATCATCGGACAAGGCCTAATCGGATTCCCTGTTGAATAGAAAGAAAGTGCAACGATCAAATGGGCGGTGAAGATCCGAAGACACGGACCTAATATTACCGTTCTGTTCAAACTGAATTCGTTTTATTTCTTTATAAAAACATCGTTAACAACCTCACGTTTAAGCTATAGTTAGCACACTTTACATAACAATCATTACAGATGCTACAAAATTACATATTTTATGTACTTACAAACATATGTTTGCTTATTTTTGTTTACAGTTCTAATGCTGTTTAAGATTTATCAGCAGAATTATTTAGAAACTTATTACTTTTCGTTTTCTATCTTATTCAAAATTCACTTAAACTACAGATCAATTTACAATTACTTAAATTTGTCTACTTTTTCAGCAAAATCATTCACAAATTTAAAATTAAGTTTTCTTTTTGCATTTCATAAACAATATAGTACAGATTCATTAAGAATTAGAACTAAACTACATAAATATCGATTCAGTACACATCTTGCAAATCTAAATTTGACTTATTTTCTCTTACACTACACTTAAGTTCAAAATTAGCACACTTTACTGCTAAGAATTACAGATTTTAGAATGTTACATTAATAAATATTTCATGTATGTAAATAAATTTTGCAACAAGTTCAATTCTAATGCACTAGAGATTAATTAAGTATTAGAACTAAAGTAGTTAAAACTCGATTTAACACATAATTGTACTACAATTTACCAGCAAAGATTCTGAATTATTAAAAAATTGAATTTAGTGCAAATCCATATAGAATTCGAACTGCATTACTTAAATATCGATTTAGTACACAATTCTTCTTTTGTCTTATTTTCTCTTACTTACTACACTTAAATTCAAAATGAGCACAAGTTACTAAGTTACTAAGAATCAGAGAGTCGAACCGAAATTAATTTTGTTCCGGTTTACGGTTACGTTCCAACTAAATGTATATCGTTCCAGATTCGGTTTCGATTCGTCTAAAACTTTCGGTTCAGTTCCAATATCAAATTCCATTCCTACTATTGTTTTGAATTAAAAAATTGAAAATACAAAAGAAATAAACCTTAATTAGTGACAAGTTCAACGCATACACTTTGTAATGTTTCTTCAGTCATGTTTACAGTAATATCATTTTTAATCACTTTCATTTGAGTTTGTTCTAATGTTAATTGCGCAAGCCTTATGTTTGATACAGTTACGGTTCAGTTAAAAATTCCGGTTAATTTCGGTTTTCGGTTAAGAATTACATATTCCGGAATGTTACATAAATAAATTGCAACAAGTTTAATGCAAATGCTTTTGAGACTAATTTAGTATTAGAACTAAAGTTCTAATCACATAATTCAACCTTAAAGTTAAACAAAATCAATTAGATTTTCTTCAAATAGATTAAATATTAAATGTATTACTCCTTACGATCAAAAGACTTTTTGCTATTATTTTCAAACTCTTCATTAACGTTAATTATGGTAACGTTAATTAGCGATTTTCCAAGAGGACATTCTGATCGCGAGTTGCATATTTATGAGATCGCAACGAACGGCTCAACGATTCTCATTATTGCACGTGATTTTCCCATTCATTTCCTTCATTTTTTTTCCATTTCTTCCTTCTTCCTTCGTTTCCAAAGACCAAAAGAAATCGTCAAATCGATTTCGTCCGATAAATAATGATCGACGCATTAGCATATCATAATCGTTGCAAATGATACGCTTTAGAGCGATTAATGATCGAACCCCGAGGCTCTACGACAATTAAATCGTCAAGGAAACTCAACCAATTTTCTTTATTTTATCGTAATCACCGATTTTTTCGCATCCTTTTTACCACCTGCTCGCCGGGAGCGCGCTAATCTTATCAGTTTTAACCTGTATTCTCATAACAACTTCGACCTCGTTCGTTATTCTCACTCCGCTTGGAAGACTTGTACAATAACGTATTGAGATGCGAGTGAAAGTGTCGCGAGATCAATCATCATTTTGTTGAAGTTCTTCGAGTTGCATTTGGACGTGAAGGAAGGAAAATCAAAGGAAAGCGAGCTTTTCCCGTTCGAGGAGATAATTAAGATCGGAGTTTGCGATTCGCGCGCGCTCGCTGGATACACCATCTAATCTGCATTGTATCGGGTCGCATTATCAGATGGAAAAGTACGATTTCGTGACATAACGGAATCCGTGCGAAAGAGAAACAGAGAGAATAGTACGAAGCTCAGAAGACGATGCCATCATCCTCGTTGCTCGGATATTATATAAATAGTAAGTTCAAGAGGTTAATTAACGTTGTCCCCCTTCTTAGGCGGCGCGCATAATACCGAGATCCTCGTAAATACTCGCAGCGGCGGCGGCGGCTTCGATTCACCGTCATCTTCTCCTTCTTGCTGTTGTTATTATTATTATTAATCTACCCATAATAATCGTTGCTCGTAAATGACGGTCCTTGAAGACCAGTATTCGAAAATAAGTAGGTTAGATGTGCAGTTTAAAATCTGAATAATGTCAAAGTTTGCATCTACTGTCTTCAGTTTCAAGTAGGTCGTGGCGAGACACATCGCAAGATAATTTAATGTACGATAGGTCAGGTTCACACATAGATTTGTCTCAGTGTTAGGGGCTATTAAATTTAATTATACCATTGAAAATAAATTTGTTAATTCAAATTCATTGTATTTAATTTATTTTCTTTTAATGATTGAAAGGTAAGTAAATCGCTTAAGCAATCTTTGGAAATAAGTTTTGTTAAAAAAAAATAAGACGTAATTAATTGAAATTCGGTTTAAACGCATCGAGATGTCGATGCTTGTAACGACACGAACCCGTTTTTAATTTTATAGATTTTTCATGAAATAATCATAAGTTTCGTTATGAAAATAAACATTAATTAATTACAATTATATTATTAAAAAAAATGAACAAAAAAATGACAGTAGAAGGCATTCCACCGCCTCCTATTCCTGTGCTTTGCGCCAGGTGTCAACAATTCACTCACGCAACGGACGCATGTTCGAACAAGACCAAATGCTCGATATACCAGGGCCAACATCCGACAAACCGATGGCATCATGCAACTCCGAGGATCATGCTGCATGGTCTTCCAAATGTTCGAAGAGGCCAACAAAACCCATACCGGGTATACCTAACATCAAAGTAAGACCACTTAATAAAAAGACGAGTGATCTACCTAAAGACCTTCAGAACAACAGAATTCACAGGCCATGGCCACAGAGTTAACACCTATATCAACTAATTAAACCCGTCAAAGAATGCAGAAAATCGCGCAGAGTTGCTGCAGCGCTTGAAAATACGATTTATAGATAACTTTAATGTTAATGGTAATGTTATTCTTCAGTCGAATGATGCTTCAGAATATATTATTTGTTCATTTCGAGAAGATTAATCTAGAAAGAAATATTTAATAAAATTGTTTACTTAAATGCTTGATCAGAAAACGAACCCTATAAGTAATTGAATTATTTCTTATTATATAATCAAAATTTTCATATTTTCTTATCAGTGATGAGTAATGACTCGATTACAAGTATTATTAGTAAAATAGGTTAGGTTTAAGTGTGTTAATGTTGTTTAAACAATCTTTGGAAATAAGTTTTGTTAAAAAAAATAAGACGCAATTAATTGAAATTCGGTTTAAACGCATGGAGATATCGATGCTTCTAAGAACACGAACCCGTTTATAATTTTATAGATTTTTCATGAAATAATCATACCGAGTATACGTAACATCAAAGTAAGGCCACTTAATAAAAAGACGTGTGATCTACCTAAAAACCTTCAGGACAACAGAATTCACTGGCCGATAACAATAGTTAACACCTATATTAACAAATTAAACTCGCCAAAGAATGCAGAAAAAAACACGCAGAGTTGCTTGAAAAGACGATTTATAGATAACTTTAATGTTAAAACACGCGTCTGCTTTTCGGGACATCATGTTTAAGTTTTAATATTCGATGTGGATGACCGGGACGTGGATGTGAATCAGGGGACGGCCGGGTTTTTCATCATGAAATTTGGATAGACCATTTTATCATTCTTCAGTCGAATAATGTTTCAGAATATATTATTTGTTCATTTCGGGAAGATTAATCTAGAAAGAGATATTTAATAAAATTGTTTACTTCAATGCTTGATCAAGAAACGAACCCTATAAGAATTTTAATTATTTCTTATTATATAATCAAAAATTTACATATTTTCTTATTACATTACTCAATTACAAGTATTTTTAGTAAAATATATAAAAAAAAATAAGTAATTCAAAAATTATCAATATAATACGTGGAAATATCAAAGTTGATTCTTTACTTAAAGTTAGGTTTAAGTGTTGTTTAAATTTGCACGCAAATTGGTATGGTTCGTGATGCAACAGATTCGGAGATGGTCGAACTAACCTAACCTAATCTTAGTTCATTTAACCTAAGCCGACGACCGAGAGATGCGTTACAGTTAGAAACGCCGAAAAGAAGAGACAAAAAGAAAACCGAAGAAGTAGAAGTAAAAGAAGAAGAAGAAAAAGAAGATAAATGGTTTGTGACGAATTGAGGGAGAGGTGGCCCGTTTATAATGAATGTGATTAAAAACGAACGTGAAATTTGCGTCCGTCCGTCCGTCCGTCCATCCATTCG